ATTCGCATAACCAGAATTTACAAATAAAGATTTAGGGGAAGGGCCTACCCAAATAAAAAAGGAGTACAAAGGAAGGGGTAGAATAAGAATCACAGTACTAGTAGAAATACTATGGTAGGCATAGAGGGTGGAATAATAGAAGTAATAGAATAAATAGCCATATATTGTAGGCTCAATGTAAGCCTAGCCGTATCCTCCACATCATGGATCCTACTGCTGGTACCTGGATGACATTCCTAACTTAAGCTCCAGGTAACACCTAAATACAACATATAAATTCATATTTACCCTCCCAGTTTATATAAATAACCCTCTAAGCCAATATACTTTTACATTTAAGTACCAATGCTGCTGTTATTTGTATTAAATATTATTGAGGTAAAAGATAAACCAGACGAATAAGCTGAGACAGGCAATGTATGGGACATCTATGGTTTACTGTCTTACATTTATTTCCCTTTTATGGAGCTATAGGCTTTCTACCCCTCCTCTACCCCCTCCCTTGTCCTCCTTCTACCTACTACCCCCTCTTTTCTCCCTCCCCATTCCCCTAACCCCTTTTCTTCCTCCTTTTTACCCTCCCTCTACCCTTCCCCTAGGTTCTTTCTCCTATTCGATCCTTCTTTTTTTCCCAAAACCTTCCCAACTATTCTTGATATTATCTTTTTCTACTATTATTTGGGGCCTTTATCCCAATCTGCAATCTACTCCCCTCTAAACTAATATTTAGTCCACCTTATTCACCTTACCTCCCTATACCTCCTAAATTATAATACCCTACATTTATAGATTATTTATCGTTAGATATACTCCCACCTAAGGACAAAATCCCCAGGCTCTCCACACCAAGGTGTAAGTTGGTTGGTGAATCAAAATGTAAACAAATAACAGGTAACTAAGGATCCTAATATAACGCTTAGAAGTAGCGAGACTTTATTAATGGTAAGATAACCTTAGACCTGTGAGACCAAATGACAAATCCCAATATGATAATGTGGAACGAGTGAACCTAAGGAGGTAGGACCAAGGGGATGGTAATGTAATAAGACAAAGAGGCCAATAGGATAAGAGAATAGAAGGGAATCAAGGGAAGGGTAGATATAAATAGGCGTATTGTGAAGTATACTTTATTTAGCTTAACATGCTCCTACCTAAACGTAATCATCCACCTCTTTGATTAGCTTTTATGTGCTAAAGTCCAATTATAGTCAACCTCTATCTGAATTTTCTTTTACCAAATATTTGTATTATTCAAATATAGTATCTTTCCTAGGTTCAAGTATCAAAACTACTTTTCTAGGATCCAATCCAAGTGCTGTTACAAGATCTAAACATTTTGGTAACCTTTCACCAAACTTTATTGGTTTTTATAAATTATAATCTACAAGCTTTGTAAAGTTTAACCTGTTAGCCGCGTACCCTCATAACTGTTTTATTTTATGCTCGTATACGATTATTATCAAAGATCTGCTTACGTACTTATTGACAAAATACCTATACCATTATTAGATTTAACCCATAAATCCTAGGGTCAAGAAGAGAAGTAAGGTATAATCAAGACATCTTACTCACAGGTAAACCTAAAAGGTTTTGTCATTTGCGTGACTTACAAGGGTTTACTGTAAATAATAATCTAGCCACAATAGGGTTTATTATCCAGGTCTAAATATTACTTCACTTACCTATGTTGATTATACAAAATGGTAATTTCATAATAAAGAATCCTCATGGAAGTAGCAAAACTTCACTGGTGAGGGTAGGAGGAAACTTGTATGATACCAAGGGATGGAGTAGACAGGGGTAGAAAAGGAGGGGGATAAAGACATGGGGACAATAGTATAAAAAGAAAAGAGAAAGACAAAAAAGGATAGTAGGTGGGGGAAAAGGAGAAAGAGAAAAAAGACATGTAAAAGATACAATTAAATACTTAGATAATAAAGATAAAAGTATATCTAATAAATATGTAAAAGATAAGTGGCTATCTAATAATATAGGAGTGGCCCCATAAACAACCTCTAATTTATAGTGATAATCTCGAATCTTATCATAGGCTTATTATAAATTTTTACTCGTGTTTGTGTATGGGATAAACCTTTGTGGTTTTCGTCTTGGTGGCCTCACTTCCTGAAGCCAGTCCTATTAAAAGGTTTTTATAATAAAGTTTATAGACTTGGAGTGTCTTATTAGTTTTTATCTTTATGCTCAACCTAACCTTTATTATCCTACATCTGCTATGATGCTTCCACTTCCCAGTAAGGTTTACCTTTGTTGACAATCTCTTCCGATTCCTATATTCCACCTATTGATCAAGATAGACAAGATCAAATCTGAGTAATCTGTGTTAGGTAACTCAGGGGTCACCCCCCTACCACTTATTCTCGGTATTGTGCATTTGACAACACTCCTTATCTAGTTTTTGGACTTCTGCCTTTAGTTGTTCCCTCACCTTTTTATTCCTCCCTCCTTCCCTGCCTTCATACCCCCAGATTTTATTCCTACTACCCTTTCTTATGATTTTATTCTTAACCATCCCTTTTACTATTGACAATTCTTTTATACTCCACGTAGGTTACCAAGGTTGAGTCCTTATCTCATTCCACACTTGGTATCTTTACTATTATATGTTTTTGCATTACATGCTTATACACCCTCTTACATTATCCATAGATAGATCTTAGTGGTTCCCTCTCTTATCTCAATTCTCCAACCTGTATTATTTCTGCCATTGGATTACTGAAAAGTCTTTCCCCCTCCTCAAATATTTCTCATGTTACTGTTCTACTCAAAGACCTATTCCCTATATTCTACAATTGGAATAATTCAACCTTGATTATGCGCAATTTATTTAATATCCAACGATTGGTTGAGTTTACAATTAAAGAAATTAATTTTTATACTAGATAAGGGGTTTATCAATAGTGGGTTAATCAGCAGGTTAAGGTAAAGGTTTTCAATATCTAGATTGGTCCCTAAAATTCGTTATATTAGCTATATCTTTGAATTTATGTTTATGGCCCACGCTTACCCAAAATCCCTAACGCAATCTTTATACTCCTAGAGAGGGCAAAGGGAATTCACAACCTATCTCACTACTTAATACGTGAGGGAAGGGACCCAACAAAGACTCCTATTTAGTATACCACTAAATTTGGTGGTTAAGGGGATATTCCTCGCGTGATTGTAGGGATATAGAGTTCATGGCCTATAATGATAAACCGAATATAAATAACCTCTTAGGTTCAAATTAACCTGCATAACCCATGTCCCGACTAATAGGGAAATTTAGAGGCTAGAGACTAATATCCCAAAATACTTTATCCTCCCTATCTTTATCCCACTCTTAGTAATGTGCTCCACCTATACCCTGCAAGATTACCAGTGGGCAAGGGAATCAAAAAGGTAGCAAAGGATAAGGACCAAGCCAATAAAGGATGGCGAGGATTGCATTGGTTGCTTTATCATTGACGAAAGGATAAGGATGAAAGGATAAAATTATCAAACCTATTTACCCACATTTGTGTGCCCTTTGTAGATTTTATGGTGGTTTTGCTAATTTAATGAAAATTCGGGATGAATTTTTGTATACATGTAAGTAAAAAGTGCACGGGGTGGGTAAAAAACTAGTTTAAGAGAAGGAAGAAAAAGAAAATTTTATAAAAAGTAGAACGAAAACCCTAAACGAAAAAACATAAACGAAAATGGTGGGACTTTCATAATAAGGGGGATCGAAAAAGAGGGGGAGGGACAGGGATCAAGAGTAAAAAGAATCAAGAATCCAGAATCAAGAGTAAAAAGAATCCAGAATCAAGATCCCCTTCCAATCCACATGTCCATAAAGAAACGTATTGGGTAATTCATCTTTGTTAATTAATATCCACTTGACATAATGGGATTGAACTAGGCAGTAAGTAGTTAGGATATCAGTAGGAATGTAACTATGGTATAAAATAATTAATTGGGATATTACCAATACGAAAATGTATAGTCTTTAAATAAGTGTCATAAGACTTTTTATAATGTAAAGGTGATCATCTAATGAACACTAAATATAGTAAATAATCAGAGTCCCCGTTGGTAGATTGAAATGTACTATATTCAGGTGATGCAGAAAGGGGATAGTAGGTAGATGAAACTTATGATTGGCCTGCTATCTCTGATTGAGGGTATAGGTCGAATGAATAGAAGGAGGTTCCTATTTTGTGAGGTGAACGGGGATAAATATACAAATAGAAGAGAACAACGAGGGCCATCACCATATGGTCCACATCATAATGGTATAAAAAGAACCAGTCTAATGGATGACGAATCACAGAGTAGTGTAGAGGGTAAATTAGAATAATGCAGGCTGTAGAATACAATAATACAACAGCAAATAGGTAACAAAAAACCTGCAAGGTTAGCTGAGTGATTTCACTAGACTTGGTGATAATGCCTCCCCTATACCATAGAAGTATAATCTATACTCGAAATACCCGGTGGGTTAATTTGTCCTATACGTTCCATTCCTAGCTTCTCGATTAGGGGTTGGTGAATTGTTAATTATTGATTATTGAATTCTTTATTAGATAATACTTTATTTCTTGATAATTTTATTCTTTATAAGATAATACTTTATAAATTGATAATTTTATTCTTTATAAGATAATACTTTATTTCTTGATAATTTTATTCTTTATTAGATAATACTTTATAAATTTATTATTGAAATCTTTATATATTGAATACTTTTAAATATTGAATACTTTTGAATATAAGCAGGGTTGATTTATATTCTTGCTCATCCTATTCTTTTTATATTATCAGAATTGATTATTCTTGTGAGGTTACCTCTTCTCTATGATATTTCTTGTATAAACTTATTCAATTTACCCTGAAGCACTCATCCCACAATCTGCTAATCCGTTCTTATACGCTTTTCCTATGACGCCAACCTTTAAACGTTTATTGTCTTATTAGACTACTCTTCTTTCATTCCCTTTTTTATACTCCTTATCTCTATTAGGATCATAGCTCAACGGTAGAGTCTACAGCCGATAATTGTATTATGGAGGTTCGATTCCCCCTGGTCCTATCTACTCTTGCCTTCCCCTTTCTTTCTTTTTTTCCTTCTTGTTTTTTGTTCTTTCCCCTATTTTTTATATATGAATCTTATTACCCTCTTTTATATGTATTTCTTTATTAAGGTTTTATTAAATATTGGCCCTTATTATTATTATCTATCTCCTGTTTGGAATTATCCCAGCTCTTATGAGCTCTCTAAACCATTTATTGCTTTTTGGGAACCAGAAGGATCTTTTTATATTGTTAAAAAAGAGGAAAATAGATTATGTCATGGGATTGGTATTACTCATTGATGTAATTAATTATCTAAAATATTTCATAATCTAAAGTTAAATCTAAGAGCTACGGAGTTGTTGGTTTAGATTCTACAGGTCATCGAGCAAATTTAAATATAGTTAATAATTTTAATGATGATAAATTATTTCATTGGAAGAAAATATTTACAAATTACTAAGTGGCGTCGTACTATATAATTTAGAGGACGATATATAAAACTTCTTAGAGTAAGATACCTCTTTAGTGCTTTACTTTATTTAATTTTCTTTTTAGTATAGTCTTTATAACCCTTTTTATTGTAAAGTCTACTTTTTTTATTAGCTATCCCCGATTCTTCATCCCACTTAGGTACTTCTGTAGATTTAAGTTTTTTAAGTTTACATATTCCTGGTCTATCTTCATTATTAGGAGCTTTAAATTTTATCTTCATGTTCTATTATTTATATTCGTTCTCAAGGTTTAACCTTTGAACCTTTATCTTAGTTCGTTTGGTCTGTTAAAGTAACTGCTTGGTTATTAGTTTTATCATTACCTAGATTTATTAAAGATTATACTTTTTATAAAATTTATAACGGGAGTGGATTACCCGGGTCACAGTAGAATGTAGAATGAATGGTAGGTTTGGGCCTCTAAGCGTAAAGGAGGGAATAAAAGGAAATAGATTATGACGAAAGATAATTCTGTAGAATCGTCTTATATTGGATAGGGAGGCTAAGTAACGTAAATAGAATATTACTTGAATAAGCCATTCAATGCGGTTGATAAAGATTGGTAATCGGGGGGTGCTCACCTGATTGTTATTTGGTCATACCTGTAACAACTCATTTTTATCTATAAGATCTCTAATAAAAAAGATAAAAGGAAACATAAATCAAATTAAAAAAAAGATATTACCTATAGGGTACAATAATAATCGTTATACTTACTTAAGGACTTTAATATAATTTAAATTTATGATCTCGATTTTTTTGTAGTCCTTTATTAGGTAGGATCCTTTTCTCTTCCTCCTTATCTTCTTCCCTTTCATCTTCTCGACCATGAGAGGATTCATCCGCCTTTTCCTTCCCTTCCTTTTTCCTCTCACTTCTTTTCCCTACCCTTTTCCCTTCTCTCTTTTCCGTTTATGGTCCCTTCCTCTATCTTTTTATAGTCTCTTTTCTACTTGTGCTTTTTTCCTTTTTCTCAATTAGGTCTTACATAAAACCATTCTTATCTAGGTTAACCTGTTAACCAAATCTTATTACCTCCTCTCTCTTCTTTAATGAAAACCCAACCCAAGAGACTTTTAATAAATTTCTCCTAGAGAGCCTGGTCAATAGTTAACTGTGGTGAATTATCACCAACCACCTTGGGATTTGTCAATTGAATGTACGTGCTATCATATTGGATAGGGTGGAGCATAGGAAAGAATGCGTGTATAATGTAAACCATAGGACAATATTAATAATTCCTTATAAGAAGTTTATAGATAAATCATCTCATAGTTGGGTGGCCTATAAATAACTCCATAACCAATAAGATAAAAGAGGGTAGTTTAGATAAATAAGTATAAGTGAAGAATAGGGAGGGGGTAGGCAAGAGAGGAGAGCATATCAAGGATAGACAAAAGAATAAATCGTGATACTGATAGTGAAATAAGAGTATATTATCTAATCGGAGTAATATATCTATTAGTGGCACGTGGTTATCTCATTGGGGGGATAAGATAGGACTAGTTGTAATCAAGTCTTTATATACCACTTGAACAATATAGGGGAATATAACCAGATAACCACTAAGGATCCACGAGTAATCTAGGTAGAAGAAAGGAACTAAGTGTGGTGTATAACCAACGTAGAAGGGCTAGAATACAAGAATGCAGATAGAAGGAGGTATTGGGAAAGAATAAGGGGAAGACAAATAGGGGATCATAGAATAGTAAATAGAAGCCCCAGTAATAGTGGGCTACTCACTCTATTTATAGTGATTGGTATAGTAATATACTTTTAAATATAATGGTAAATAATGATAATTGTAGGGTCTATAAATTTGGTTACTAAGGTTGAAGGGAAATATGAAACCTCTGTCAATCATGTAGATAATTATCCTTGGAAATACGAACCCAATCTTTATTTATCACGGATTATCACGCATACCTAATTAGATGTTGTAAATAGTTCCCAAATTTATCTTATTGGATGGTGCACTTATATAAAACGTAAGTCCTGGAGGACAACCGTAAAGTCACAATATAGACATATTAATAGGTTGGTTAACAAATCGTAGATTGCTTATGGGGAAGGAGGAGGAATACAATGAAAGAAGATTCAAGTAACTTGAGAGATTTGGGGGGATAAGGAGGGGGAATAGCCCTTTATAAATATGAAGGCACCTCTGGGTTTGTAATAAGAAAAGAGTGAGGCATCCTCAACGATGTCACTAAAAACGTATAGGTAGCCCAATCACTGTGGTGTACTTGGGACAATACATCATTATCGTAAGGATTCCCTATAGTAGTTCGGGCCTATATTAGATTGATGGTTTAGAATACTTATTTGCTATGATCTTTAGTTTTGATTATTCTCTACTGTATAGCCTGAAACTCGGGGAGGGTAAGATTGTAAATAATTGAATCTTTAATAGTGATGATAATCAAATATATAAAATGGATAAATCGTGTAGGGGTAAGAGGGGACCATCAGAGGCCTGGGAAGACTAAACTCGGTAAAGAAAGACAGGGGAGGAAGAAACTTAAAAAGAGGGGGAAAGAATTTTGGGTAAAGGATAGTAAAAACAACAAGTAAGTAAACAAATAAAATTGTAGGTTACTATGGATGTAACTAAAACTATAAGGAAGCTTATACGTGTATGTCCATGGATTCTTATAACCTTATACTTAAGAGTATTGCCTCACCTGCTCTATATGACAGGTTACCATTCAAAAACTAGAAAGATGAGCAGTTTCAAGAAAATACATAGTTGAGATAAGGGGTCCTATAGTTAAATAAATAGGGATCTTGTATAACTTGAATACGTACAAATAGGAAATGGGAGATAGGGGAGAGTCGAAAGAATAAGTCTATAAAGATAAGAAAATCAGGCAGGGTATAAAAAATAGGGGATGAATAGAAGTATGAGGGGTTAATAGAACAAAGGTTGACTTATAGGGTAATAAAGATAAAGCAAAAAATAAGTACCAGTATCATATATACCTGCTTAACAAAATTCTAATGTCTAGAACGTAGGAGTTTTTATTTACCAAGCTTTATATTATAACTCTATTTACTAGGTGCAGCTACTAATACTATTATTTGGCAAAATAAGACTTAGGCTAACCTAGGGTAGTCACTTAATAGGATCAGGGAAGGACCCAGCCTTGCTATATTATCTACTTACACTTTATATTACTGTTTTCCCCTCTCCTTTTTTTCCCCGGGTCTTTCTATTTTCTTCCTTTTTATATATTCTTTTTCGTCCCATATCCCCTTGTTTCACATCCTCTCATCCCTAGCTTCGTTTTCCCTCTTTACCCACTTTTATTCTTTTTCCAAGTTAGTTAATCCTTAGTCGTTCCCCCTACCCCTCTTCTTAGTCCTCCTACTCGACCCCTTTCCCCCCATCTCCTTCTTCCCTCTTTCCTGATCTTCTTACCCTTCCTCTTTTCATCCTTTTTTAGCATTTCACTTCTGCTCTACCCACTCCTTTGTATTCTTCTATCCCTGACTTTCATCCCAGCTCCCTGACTTCTCGTACTCTTTCTTACCATCCCCCACCTCTTTATCATACGGCTTATCTCTTCTGTTTCGAGTCACCAGGCTACTTTGTTTCCTATTAGTCGCATTATCATCTTCCCTCTTACAGTTTTACTCTTTCACTATCGGCGCTTATTTATAAAGTCTTCTTTCTACTCTCGCTCTATCACCTACACATGGCCTTTATCCTTAAATGTATGAATCCTTTGTCGTTGGTCCATATCTAGGCGACGGATAAAGGATCCCCTCTTTATAAATTACTTAGCCTAGGTTGAAAAACTATTTTCTATAATCAATGCAAAGGATAAGAATTGATGTCATAAGGTTTTACAGTCGTAGCTAATTTAAATGGATAGGGCCGTTAGAGATAACTTGGATAGTGTGATAATGAAACTTATTAGCCTAAAGGGGATAGAGGGGGGCAATACAATAATTGTATCTTTATGTTGTACTAATGGTAAGACGATATCGAAACTATAATTGTAATTTGGGAGTATAGCAATCAATAATGATTTGTAGGAATAAAAGTGGGGACAAAAAGGGATGGCCAGGGAAGGATGGGGATAATATGCAGAAGTTAGAAGTCTTATTGTAACTGTTTAGGTCTAGGTGGCCTGTACATTGGTTAAAAAACGTTTATAAAGCCATATTTATTCTTAGTGTCCAAGTTACTCTTTTTTCCTTCCCTGGTTCCTTTTTCCCTTTTGTTTTTCCTATTTCCTCTTGTCCCCACCCTGCTTTCCTTTATACTCTCTATCCTCTCTATCCCTCTCTACTTCTGTTTTTACCCCCCCCCATTATTCCTATTTATCTAAACCTTATAAACTAATCTTATGTCTCAGGGGGTTGGGGGTCATGGCTAGTGCATTAATCACTAGTTGTGGCTTACAATCTAATACAGCCCCTTAGTTTACCCTCTTCCCTCATACATATAAGGAGGTCATAAAGGAATAGGAGGGATCATATAGTACCACAAAGGGTATGAGACTCAGGGTAAGGGCTA